TAAAACTTCTACCAGGAAACTGGATACAGATGATAAGCACTCTCAGCAAAGTAGCAGGATACAAAATTAACACACACACACACACACACACACACACACACACACACACACACACACACACACAAACAAAAAAACAAAAAAACAAAAAAAAAAAAACAACCCCAGTAGATTTCCTATATAGAAATGACAGAATTCTGAGAAAGCAATCAGGGAAACATACCTTCACAATGGTCTAGACTACAAAAAGTCTTGGGTTACTTCTAATCAAGTATGTGAAAGAATTATAGTTAGATTTTTTTTTTAAGTTAAAGAAAACATAGGAAGAAGCACAGATTTCCTGTGCTCATTGGATAGAATTAATATGGTGAAAACAGCAATTGTTTCCAAAGCAACAGATTCAGTGCCATCACCATCAAAAATTCAACAGAATTCTTCACAGAAATTGGAAAAATAGTCTCTTCAGTTTCATATGGATATACAACAACAACAAAAGGGAATAGCTGAAACAATCCTGAATAATAAAAGAACTACTGGGGATATCACCTTTTCCTATCTCAAATTTTACTACAGAGCTATAGTAATGAAAACAACATGATATTGCCATAAAAATCAGCTACATTAATCAGTGGAATCAAAGACTTTGACATAAGGAGATTTTTCTAATTTGTGGTGATTTAGCTGAGGATAGGTAGGCATCTCTTAGACTGTCTTCAACAACTTGAAGAGAGGTTTCCCATTCTTGTGATTGGGTTTGTTAGATCATCTATGGCTCCTTTGGGGGACCATCATCACCCCTGGTCGTATAACTTCATTTAAGCTATGAAATATGTGTCCATATATATATATTTAAAGTAAACATAAAGAAAAACCCTGTGGGTTTTTCAAGCTTCCTTTATATTATTTATCCCACCTCCCTTCCTTGCCCTCTGCATTGCCTTCCTCTCCCCCACCCTGTTAAAATAATCCAGTTTTCCAGTTTTTCCTTTCCTTGCTCCTGTATCCTGCTAGCCTCATTTCTAGAGTCACACCCTGACCTCTCCCACTATGCACCCTTTTCCTTTACTGGTTTCTGCAGTTACTCCAGGTTATATATGCAAATAAAGATTAAGAGCCTGTATCCAGGAATGAGAAAGAATGTGTGACATTTTTCTTCCTCAGTCTGGGTTACTTCAGTCAGAATTATATTAGAGTCAAAGAACAAGTCAAAAAAGAATAATTTTGGCTTCCTAGAATTAAGTGAAAGTGAAAGTACAGAGCAACAAAACCTCTGGAACACATTAAAAGCAGTGATAAGAGGGATGTTTTATAGCTCCAAACATCTATATTAAAACATCAGAAAGAGCACAAATAACTTCAGCAATTTGGAAAAATAAGAACAAACCAAACCCAAATCCAGTAGATGACAAGAAATAATAAAATCAGAGCAAGAGTGGTTCAACATATGTGACTCAATAAATGTAATAAACCATCTAAACTGCCTTAAAGACAAATTATGATCATCTAAATAGACACAGAAAAGGCCTCTCACAAAATCCACCATCCTATCATTATAGAAGTCCTAGAGAGAGTAGGACTGGATGAACATACTGTAACAAAATAAAAGCTGTATATGACAAACCCATAGCCAACATCAGCCTAAATAATGAAGACCTCAAAGCAATTCCATTGTCAGGAATGAGGCAGAGTTTTTATTATCCCCAGTCCTTTTCAATATAGTGCTTGGATCACTAGTTAGAGACAAGACAAGGAAATTAAAGGGATACATACTGGAAAGAGTTAAATTATTCCTATTTGAATATGATATACAAAAGAAATCCAAAAAAGTTCTACCAGAAAACTTTTAGAATTGATCTACACTTTCAGAAAAGTGTTAGTACATGGAATTGACCTATAAAAATCAATTACATTTATATATACCCAAAACAATCATTCCAAGAAAGAGACCTTTGAAACATTCACCTTAAAAATGGAATCAAAATAAAATAAAATAAAATAAAATAAAATAATTAATCTAGGGATAAATATGACCAGGAAGATGAGAGACTGCTTTATGAAAACTTTAAAGAAAGATCAAAGAAGACACTAGAACTTGAGAATACTTTCAGTGCTCATAGATTGGTAGAATTATTATTATTATTAAAAAGACCACCCTACCAAAAGAAACTTGCAAATTCAATGCTATCCCAATAAAAATCCCCAAATTCACAGGAACCCTCCGAAGACCCCAGATAACTAAAGTATCTCTGAGTATAAAGTACAATGTTGGAGGTGCTACTATACCAGTTTTCATTCTGTATCACAAAACTATTATAAATAGCATGGTGGTGCTAGCAAAAACAACAACAAAAGACCCAAACAAACAAATAAAAAAACTAGACATGTCAATCATTGGAGCAAAAATTAAAGACCTATACATGATGTCTTAGGGTTACTATTGCTGTGATAGAACACCATGACCAAAGCAGGTTAGGGAGGAAAGGGGTTTATTGGGCTTATGTTTCCTCATCACTGTTTATTACTGAAGGAAGTCAGGACAGGAACTCAAACACCGAAGGAACCTGGAGACAGGAACTGATGCAGAGGCCACAGAGGGTTGTTCTTGATGTGATTTTGGAACCAAAGTAAACTTTTTATTGCAGTGTTTTACAAGGAATCAGGTTCAGCCTCTATCATGCCTCCAATGTGCTTGGAATCCTCTTCACATTTGCCTATGAGTCTGTGGCACAAGCTGTGCCTTTCTAGGATAGTGGTTCTCAACTGAGGATACTTTGTCACTAGGGAGCAATAGGCCATGTCTGCACATGTGATTGTTATTATGGGTAGTACTTGTGCTCTTGTCATCTGGTGGGTTTTGCGGGGATGTTACTAAACACTCTACAGCATATGGCCTCCATATTGTCCAGCTCCAACTGGCAATAGAACTGAGGTTGAGAGATCTTGATATAGGATGAAATGAAAACCTTTATTCTAAAGAAAATTTCTTAGCTGTGTGTGAGAGCGCAGGCCTGAAATCCCAGCTACTCAGAGGTCGAGAGTGGCAGATTATGGTCCATAGTGTACCTGGGTTATGGGGAGTTTCTGATGAAAAGATTGCAGAGTGTAGCTAAGTGATAGAGAACTCTGTGCTCAGTCCTCATGGGCATGGGAGGGATGTCTCATGAGAAAAAGATAAAATTAGTTAGATATGTAATTCTCAAGTAATATAAAAGGTATCATGAACTATCATTTTCAGTTTAAAAATGCTCTGGTTCTTTTTGTGGCTTATTTTTAATATTTATCCAGAAGCAGTATTGTGAGCAAAGCATGTATTTCTGGTGCTTATAAATTCATTGGTGAGTATGTAGCTGCCGTGATTTAGGCTTAGACTTGCAAGGATGGAAAGGAACTAGGGTCATGCTTTTCATTCCTTTTTTTTTCTTTCTTTCTTAAAACTGTGATGGTACCTACCAAAACTATTTCTTAGATGATACAGGACTAGATAGTATCATTTTAAAGACTCTTCAAGTTACTTAATGATATAATTTCAGAAAAGACCCAGTGCAGTAAGCTGTGCACATTAGCAAACTCTAGCTACTTCAGTAACATTGCACATACATGCTCACACTCTGCTTCCTGCTTTTACTCAAAAGCCTCCTGTATTACCAGGGATGTGTGGTCCATATTAATCCAGCAAAATAGATGAGCTCCTAAGGATGGAGCACAAACATATATTTCAAATAATTGTTTTTAAAAGTCCCATTCAACTAATGATGAAGTACACTTTTAATAAATTTATATTTTGTATAGATAGTAAATAATTTAAGGCTGCTGAAATCTCCAAAATTAAAATGTTGAAGGATAAATTATTACTAAAACTAGAACAACATGTAACTGACCTGTAAAACCAAGTAATATGAAAATAAAAGTTCATCATGTTTAGAAATCTTAAGTTGTTTTAATTAGGCTTTCTATTGCTGTTAACAGAACATCATGACCAAAAGTATTTTGGGGAAGAAAGGGTTTATTTCCCTTACACTTCCCCCTCACAAATATCATCTGAGGAGATCAGGACAGGAACTCAAGCAGAAATGTGCAGGCTGGAGCTGATACAGAGGCCATGGAGTAATGCTGCTTATGGCTTGCTCAATCACGCTTTTACTCTCCCAGGACTACCTGCCAGGAGTACCACCCACAAGGGGCTGGGTGCTTCCATATCAATCACTAATTAGAAAATGCTCTACTGGCCAGTTTCATGAGGGCAGTTTTTCAGCTGATGTTCTTTCTTCCCAGATGACTCTGGCCTGTGTCAAGTTGGCATTAAAATCCAGCACACTTAGTATGTGTCAGAGCAAAGACAGAAGGCATCAAAAGAAAGTATTAGATTCTTTTACAAGATGGCCCTATGATGCAAATTTTGGTTTTCTGATCTACTTTTAAAAATAATCTTATTTTACAAGTTCAGAAATTTGAATAAAACCAGGAAGAAATATTATAAGAAATGTTAGGCAATTACTCACATTCTTAAATAATCCCTGTTTGTGTTAAAGATTTCTAACTGGACTCTAGAAAATATATTGGAATTATGCCAGAAAAGGCAAGTTTTCATATTTGCTCTTAATGGCTCCATTGCTGAATTAAAATGCTTTATACTTAAAGAGACAGTATCTTTTTATTTGGTTCATGACAAATAATGAATGTTATCTCCTCGTTAAAATTTAAAAGCTAAGAAATAATCTTTTTCCCCCCAGTGAGTGTCAGATACTGACTGCTTTTAGACTCTCAGGTACATTAGAGACTTCAGTACATAAGGTACATGTCATTAGTTTGCTGAAGGATGATAAAAAAAAAAATACTTGAGTTGATTTTGATGGAGTCTAAAAACAATGCCTGGCTAACAACTAGTTTAACATATTCTTGTCTTAATTTTGAGTATTAAGTTTTTTGTCAAAACAATGATAGCCATATATGCATGTGGGGTTAAATGAAAAATATTTAATTACATCTCTTTTAATTTTTTCCAGCCAATTTCTACAGAAATTGTGGAGTATTCATCAGATAGTGACAAAGAAGATGACCCAGAGAATGCCCTCTTCATTGATTCAGAATCCCCTCACAAATACCAGATGGATTTTAAATCAGATGCAAGACAGTCTTTGAACAGACAGACTGACTCAGGGGCAAATGCAACTGAGCCTGTATTGAGCACACCCCAGAAATATACAGCCAGGTTTCCCAAGACTCCAGAAAATTCGGCAACAAAGAAGAAGCTCTTAAGGTTAAATCATCTTTGTAATTTCTTGTTCTTCAGTTCTTCTCTGTCTTTAAAATATCGACTTTAATTTTAAAATATTTGTTTAACTGAGAAAGAAAACTGACAAAATAAAATTCTGGTTTTGATAGACAATTTTTAAGTCTGTTTGGGAGCCATTCAAGTTGTTCATTCAAGTGAAGCATTAGTGGATTTGGTCATGACTAACTTGCATGCTGCTTTCCTTAGTAGATGTATGTTGTTTGGCTTATCAGGTTTTATTCAACGTCAGTGTTCTAGGTGCTCAGTTAGATAGTGACAGGGGAAATCACTGTTTCATTATTAAATATAACTTATAAAGAGAAAGATAAAAATAAATGTAAGTCCATTAGCTTGCCTTTGTGGCATGAGTATGGTTAGAGAGAGTGGCCAAATGAATGCTTAAAAATGCAAGAAAATATGAGAGCCTTGATTGACAGATAAAAATACCTCATATGGCTGAGGAGAGCCAGGGTGGATGAAAATGCTTGTTTTTAGTGTATCAGTTCCATGGCTGGCCTTTGTGAATCAAGCAGGATTTATTCAGGAGCCTATAGAGACATGTCACAACCTCATGTTGTACAAGGTGTCTTTGTTATAAATTGAAACAAAATAATGTCCTGTCCCTTGACAAAAAAACAATGAGAGTGAGAAGGAACCCTTGTCCAGCAGTGTCTTAAACTAAAAGGGACAGAGAGCTCCTGGGAGTATGTGCCACAGTGGAAGAAGACACAGTTGTGAGGATTATGGGGTCTATTAACACTGTGTCCACAGAAAACTGAGAGAAGTGGCTGAAATGTGGGTGGTACATACAAAATACTTGATGCCCAAACTCACTCTGGATGAAGACTTAGCTGATTATGTCATGAAAGGATCTCATCCCTAGAGTAGTTGCAGAGAACAGTATTTCCAGAAATAATATTTGCATAGACAAATAATGGCATGCATGCATTAGTCTGAGAAAACTTATATCCATTCTCGTGTTTTTGTAAATAAGGCACAAGGTTATAGACCCATTCTAGAAAAACCACTTCCTAGTATCCAAAAACCATGGAAAGTGTATGAGACCGAAGAACAAGTAGACCCGCGATTGCACAGAGTACAGGTAGTGACATAGCCACAGAAGTTTGGCTGTACAGCAGGAAGACCAGTGGAGTCATGTGGTTTATTAAATGGTCAAGACAAAAGTGACCTCATCCAGGCTAAAGTGGACATGACCAATATGAAGCTAGTATCAGGAACATCAAACACATTCCTGATGCTGATGGATCAATCATAAAGCTATACGTAGCACTCTGATGGTTTAGTTTATTTGTATCATAGTGGGAAATGCCAAAAGTGAAACCCTCTAGTAATACTCGGTGGACATTATAACTCAAGATAGTCACTGTTATGCCAATCTGAATCCAACAATGCCCCAAATAACAGTGTGGCTTCAGAAGAGAGTGGTAGTTGGATAAGACAGTGCACACCTCTAACCACACTAGAAGCGGTAGGATTGTAGTTCAAGACAAGCTTGGGTGACATGGTGATTCTGAAGTCAGACTTGAGTTCTCTTTAGTTAATCTTATCTCAGGAATCCAGGAACTAGGAATCTGATTCAGTGATAGAGTGTTTGTCTAGCATGTGTATGGCTCTGGGTTCAGTTACCCGGAAGGAAGGAGTGTGTGCGGAGGCTGTTGTGCTTGAGATTAGAGTGATTTTAATGGTGCAGGTGATGTAATCCAGTTCTAGAACATACTGTTCCAAACCTTACAGAGGACCTTTTGTGTGCCAAGCATGTTTTTGTATGCAGGAGACAGAGCAGTAAGCCTCTGCCTGTTCTGGGTGAAGACTGTCTGCCAGGAAGTCAAGCAGTGACAGTGTTAGAAGTGAGGTAGTAGGAGCAGCAGGTACTGGATGGGAAGTGGTTGATTAAACACTTGAGAAGTTAAGCTACTAGATAGGTTCTTAGGCGTGAATTAATGGAGAGAGGAACCTTGTACATTTCAGATTTAGAAATTTAGATGAGGTGGGTAGACGAGATAGAGGAAAGTAATTGAAGAATCCATAGAACTTTCCTTCCTTTGCTCCTCTCCTTTCTTCCTCCCTTGCCTCCCTTTTTTTGCTTTGCCTTTTCCTCCTTTTCTAACTTGATTTTTAACTTCTCTTGATTTTTTGATCCTTGTAGTGTGTTTGTGACTGATAATAAATGATCTTAAGGAGTCCAAATAATATTCTTGTTTGATTATTGTGCAACAATAATCAGATCAACAACCAATCAACAACCAACAGATTGGCAAATTCATTCCTGTCTGAGGTTCAGAATTATTCACTTTGCATTTATATATTTGCACATTTGGAGACCCTATTTGCATGAGAGGATGCAGCGTTTTCTAACCCTAGCCAAGTGAGGATGCAGGTAGTAAATGCACAGCACAGTTAAGGAGTGAGAAATTTAAAGTGCAGAAAGGGAACCATACTGACTTAACTGTCAGATTTTATGAGTATAATAGCAGCCCAACTTTGGTCAGAATCAGGAAATAGACCTCCTAAGAAAACTAGGAATTGGAAATGATACCCAGAAAAGGAATATAATACGAAGGGTTTCTGTTTGGGGGGTGTGAAATGTAAAAGCTGCAACTGTTATGAGTGCTTTTTCTTTTATTTAAACATAATATATTATAATTCATTAAACAGAGGCGGACTAGCAGAAAGACTAAAAGAACTGCAGAATCGAGAGAGATCTGCCATTTCTTTGTGGAGACATCGATGTGTTTCTTACCAAATGACACCTATAGGTAAGATTTTCACAAGCTTCTAAGATGATGGGTGTAAAATATTTCAGGTAAAAAGTCTTTTCTCAAATTAATACATAAAGGTGATTGTTAGTATTTTTATGACTTAAAAATTTTTTCTCTAATAGTCTTTGTTTTGGGGGATACTTTTCAAAATACAGTTGAAAACTGTTTTGGTGTGGTGTGGGAGCTCATTGAGCTGGTAAAAGACTTGCTGTGCAAATGTTAGGATCTATCTAAGTGTAGGTTTCTGGCTTGCATTTGAGAAGGGACTGTAATCCCAGCTCTAGGGAGATGGAGACAGGAGGATTCCTGGCCCATCAGTCTAGCTAAATAGGTGAGCTCCAGGTTCTCTCTCTCTCTCTCTCTCTCTCTCTCTCTCTCTCTCTCTCT